TTTTGATGTTTAAATAAACTTATTTTTCCTAATACACATACACGGCTCAAAAAACTTAATCAAAACAGGAAATAACTAACTTAAACATCTTTTCTTATTTCCTTTCATTGAATAATCTGTCATCATGCTGTGAAACTTCCCTAAAAATTAAGCACGTTTCTGAGCCTAAATCTTTTTTTAAAAAGTGAACAGAGTCGAGCAGGTAAAAATTCCAACGTTTAATGAATGACAGCTCTTATGCACTCCAAAAAAAAAAAAAAAGAACAATCGACGAGATGAACTAATATATCGTTTCTTAGAATTATAATACGATGTAAATTCACGAAAACTTTAACAAAGTGTTATAGTAGACCATGTTTCCATTCAAATGTGCAATGTAATCAAGCTTAAGAAGTACGATAATATGGTTCGACACAGCAGGATTGCAAAAAATTTAACGATATTTAGGTTCGAATTACTAAAAAAAATTTCTAGCAGTAATCATTTTCCAATCTTTATTTTTTAAACATTCTTAGAAATAAGGAGGATTGGTCAAAAAGTTGCAAGATTTATATAAATTCTTAATAATCCTAAATATTTATTTAGGTTATTATTTTGCCTCTCAGTATTTGTAAACCTTGATGGTGAATAGTTTTAACAACCTTGAAGAAATCACAAGTTGTCTGGGATGGATACTTTTTCCTAATACAATTAACGAATCTTGTCAAATGGTTTAAACTTTTTAAAGGAACTGATTTAAATAACGCTTATTTATTAATCTATTAACGCTTCCTTTTAAAAAATAAATCTTCTTCTTTTTTTAACTTTGAATATTTTAAACTGATGGATTGACAATGTGGGTTATAGTTTCCGTATATTCAGATGGTTAGATGACGATGGATCCTTCAAACATTATGCCTATTTTTAAATATCAGTACCCTATTGAATGTTTAAAGAGGAGATTTCTGACAAACTAAGCAAAACATGTTTATTCAAGTCACGGACAAAAAAGTTTTCAGTCGGAAATATCTGAGGAATTTTAATTACCATTTGGTATAGTATGTTTGTTCTCAGAAATAAAGAATTATAGTAATCTAATGAACACTTCTCAAAAGTTGGGAACGAAAATGATAACAACAACTTTCCCTAATTTCAATAAAATATTTATGTTACATGCACTACTTACGAAAGATTTTTTTTATTTAAATAAAAGTATCACTAAAACTTTTTACAGAGAATGTTAAGACAACGGTTAATTTTAAAACAATACATTCATATTTAAAATTATCGGCATTACAATTCGTTACGTAATTCAGTTGACGATCATGACCAATGACAATTTAGATGAATAAAAATAGAAGTAGCTTTCCAGAGTTAAAACAAAAATTCATGTTGCACCAATGAGAAACGAAAATTTAGATAAAAAATGGAAACAGCATTTCAGAGTTTGAACAAAATTTTAGATTGCTTCAATGAGCAACGATAATTTGGATAACACTAGATATTAGATGTAGTAAAAAAATATTTCTTCATATCGTACCCCAAACCGAAATTCCTAGGAGCTAATTAGCATATTAGTTAATTAGCATATTTAAGTTAATAGTAAGTAATGCTATGCACCCAAACCATTAAGATTGAGTCTCAGCAATTGATTTGAAGGGTTCACTTTTTTACGCTCTGTATATTATAAACCAATAAATAAATTGTGTTATAAGACTTGTGTAGTTCTGACGAAAAAAAATATAGGTGCTTTGAATATTACTATGAAACTAGATATACCCTACAGGAGGAAAAACATTTAACCCTTTGACGCAGTTGGGACGCCGGTGTCCCTTTTACGTATTTTCTTCTGACACTCGAATTTACAAAAAAAATATGTTTTGGTATTTTTCAATTTTAAGTAACAGTCTAGCAGTTACTAAAATATGTTAGATTACCATAATTATATTTGTTCTAAAATATAATGTTCAAGGAAGGTAGTTTGAATTTTTCTTCATTCATATTCAAAAACATAACAATAACTTGTTTTGAAAATTCACGAAATTTCAAAGGTGAATAACAGTTACTCTTTTAGATCTAAATAACTGCAAATAAGTTCCGTAATTTGAAAAATCATTGTATGGAAGAGAGCCGTGTTAGAAAGATATTACGCGGAAAAAGACATCATTGTTTCACACGGCATTTCATAACCATAAATTATTAAAATTCTAAATGTAGCATATTTCACTTATTTTGACCTAAATTAATTCAGAATGGTGTAAAAAGTATGAATAATATTCTTAATAAATCAAATCTGCATAAAAGGGTTAAAGAAGGAATAAAAAATTTAAATACACATAATTTATTATATTTATATTTTTAAATGCTTAGTATAGTTCACATCATGCGCAGCAATTTAATTAAGTTCCTATGGTAATTAATGTAATCATTAAGGTAGTCTGTTAAACCTCTAATGACAATAAAAACAGATGTTTGACCAAATGACCTTCTAATTTTCACGATCTTTATATATTTAAAACTCTGTTTAATTCTCAGAGGGAAGTTGTAAGGGAAACAACCGATTATATTCCAATTATAATATAAGAAAATTTTTATATAAGATAGAGCGGGACTTAGAGCATGAAATATAATAAAACATAAAAACAACCTTGAAGAAAAGGAAGGGTTTATTGCAATTTCTTAGAACTATGTCGGATTTTTTTAAGTGTCCTCTATAGATTCACGTGAGACTTTCAAGGGGAAGAGGTTAAAAAGAGACAGCGAAGTTGAAGTTTTTTTCTTCACAAACCAGTGCCTGCTCGCTGCACTCGCCAATGCTTAGAACTGCTCTCACAGTTCATGTCAGACCGCCTCGCAATCTGAACTATAATAAAATACTTAATAAATTTTATTTTAGGTTAGTATGAATGATGGGACTCTTATGAATGCTGAAAATTTAAAGTACAGTCATTCTGTGAACCTTTCGATTTATATAAAATTCAATTCATTTCGGAGGAACATCAAAAACCTATTATCCCTGTACACATATTAGTCTGTTAAGTGACTGTTGCTGCAAATATGAGAGATAAGTTACACTCATGTACCTTTTAAAATATTCATAATCAATGGAAGGGAGAAGAGAAATATATAAAATGAAATAAAATAAGAATCGCATAAAATTATTAAAAAAAATATCTGTTAAGTGGTAACTTATTGTTGAGCCCCATCAACTTAGCTGGATGAAGAAAATGAGAAATTGCTAAACTAGCACAACGGCTCCCGATTCTGTACGGCTACGGAACCCTAAATGATCGAGCATCTTTTAGTGGAACCCTAAGTTAATAAATAAAATTAGTAGCTGTGAATATACTAACCATAGAAATAATCATAACAAGCTACAAATTATTTTGATCATATTTTTTGTGAAAAATGAAATTTATTCAGTTATATTTTTACCAATAATAGACTTAAAATTTTAAATTGTAAGTCATGAATTAACAGGTCTGGAGTGACATTTAAATTAGTTCAGAATTAGTTTTTGGCGTATACATAAACTGAAAATGAATTAATTTCGATGAATTATAGTTTTCGAAAAAGAATTGAGAATGGTTATCAGAGAAACATAATTTCTTACTCTAGTACTTGGCCTCATATTGAAGTGAAAAGTTCGATTAGAAGTAATAAATTATAAATGAAATAAATTATATATGTAATAAATTATATATGAAGTAAAAAATTATATATATGTTCTATAAATGCATATCCTTTTAATATTTTATTTAATATATTGTTATTAGAAGAAATATATATAAAAAACAGTTCACTAATTTTTTATTGTTATTTTATTTAAATTATTTCATGGGAGGGATAACCTGGTTGGTAGAGCGTTAGACCCATGTCCAAGAGGTCGTGAGCTCGATCCCTACCAGATGAAGACTTCCCGTGTAGTAAATGGTGACTGGTGCACGTTAAATTTGTCGGATCACAAAGTCCTCCATGTTCCTATAACAAATCATACCTCTAGGAGTACTAAATTGGAGATGGATCGTTCTCTCGTTCAGGTCAAAATTATGATATGTGGATGAAAGAATGGTTGCATGAATGGATCCGCTCTATAAACGGGCTGTGACGTGTCTGTAGCTAAAGTAGTCATCTTGGCCTCTGAAAAACAAGAAACGCTCCCTTTGCCTTAAATTACTTCGTTTTTCCTTGTTGATGTTGGCAAGTTGCATTAGAAACAACAACAATTAATAATTTCATAAAACTAACCAAAATACTAAATATGTGATGGTTTGCTATTTGATGGAAATATATTGGCTTACTTGAAAAATAATTACTGGTTTTGAAAATTTGAAAGTTAAATTTGCTAATTAATTTTAGTGGAATCCCTATGAGCCTTTTCCAGAACCCCCTTTGGAAACCACTGCCCTAGAAGGAGACTACATTGGAAACGTATGCTAGCCGATTTCCTGGTTATCTGGCAATGACGCAAGGACTTGAAGCACCGATTTAATTTTAATTAAAAACTAAAAAACTGAGACGATATGTTATTTAAATATTTTTTTTGTTCATCGGACATAAATTAGTATTATCAATAAGATTCTATTCAAGTATGAACTGAAAATTATCACACATGCATCGAATTCAAATATGAATTGAATATAATCAAGCATTGATCGAGTTCAATTTTGTACTTGATTCAATTTAAGGTTGAATATTATGAAATAGTTATTCAATATCACCAAATATTTATTGATATTTCTGTTGAATATTATACAATATCTGTTTAATTTCTTCTTAGATATCTTCTTAGATTAAAGGTTCGTTGAATAACCTTGAATTAAGGGATACAACATTTTAAGTTTGTTTAGTATATCGTAGTTTTTTTGTTTGTTTTTTTTTTAAAATAAAAAGTGAACATTTGAGTATAAAAAGTAAAAAATGTTTCCCTCAGGCCTTACAGGGGAAATATCAAGTCCAACGTCGTATAATCAATTCAGATTGTAACAATAACCGGTTATTACTATCCTTGTTGCCCACCGGATGACGTCGAGAGGGCCGGACTTCCCAATTACGGATTCCCTGATTATAATTTAGAATTATTTAAATTTGCCTCTAGGAGTAAATAAGTGGAGGACAAATTTATTTAGAAACACATTTAAAACCCAATACAGTAACTGGAGACGTTTTTTCGCTTTAATGGAAGTTACTCGAGTGTTGTAAACCCGCTCAGGATTGGTACAAAGTAAGTTATTTGTTAGTTACTTTCATGAAAAAACTTTTTCTCGGTTAATTTTTCAATCAATAAAGTAAGAAAAAAAATTGTATCAGTTCAGATATTAGAGTAAAAATTCATGTTGAATTTTAGTTTAAAAGAAAAAACTATGTATATTACATACAAGGAAAAAAGTATTTGCAAATTTTTGAATAGCAAATTGCGTTCAGTTTTTAATAAAATGAAATATATATGGATAAAAACGTTTACATGTAAATTAGATTTTATTAAATATTAATTAAATTTTTTCAAATAATAAATAAATTTAGTTTCATAAAGTTTTAGGATTCAGCAATTGCTATTTCTCTAAAAAATTGAAAATTACATTTTTATTTCCACTCAACTGAAATTACGTTAAGTTAAATACATTTATATAAAATTATATGGTTATATATATTATGTAATTATATAAATTACCAAATTATATATTTATTAAATATAATTAATAATTTTACAGCGATCAATGTTCAGTATTTCTGCTTTCAAGCATATTTTTATACTACATCATGCCATATAAATACTTTCTAAGAATATATCATTTGATATCTTGAAAAAAATACTAAAAATTAATATTTAAACTAATAGAAAAATGTTAAACTGTACATATTCCTCATGAGATTCAACAACCACTATTTTGGAGAATATATTTTTATAATTTTATTTGCTTAAATTATAATTTACGATTTTTCTTTTCTGTTTGTAAGTTTTACAAAGCCATTCTCTCTGTCAAAATATAGGGGGGAGTGGAGTTAAAACCGGGCAACTCGATTTTTGCAAAATTAGTTCAGTTTTCTAGCGAAAATAGCTCTGAACTACACTTTACTAGTCAAAAAAAACCAACCAAGAGACAAACCAAGTAAAACCAATTCACGGTGCCCGTGTAAATAAGTTTGTTTTGCTAAGTCAACTCTCTAATGTTGAGTCAACTCTCTAAGTCAACTCTCTAATGTTGAGTCAACTCTCTAAGTCTAGTATCCTTATTTATTGGCCCTTATAGTTACAAAAATTATTTTAAGTCCAACTTATTATACGTTTACATTCCCTAATAAACAGTAAGGTTTTAGCCAGATAAATGGTTCTCAGTTTCTGTTCGACTTGTTCTGGGGGGGGGGGAAACCGGATACTACCTGGTCTGACACCTCAGAAAGCTTAAAGCTTAAAGTTTCGAAAAGCTTAAAGTTACATGACTATTTAATAATTTTTTGCCTTATAAACAAATCAATACAATATATTGGCTAAATTATACAAATTTATTGTAAATTTGCTGGTCTTGTTCTTTTTAAATTATTATTTTTACAATATTTGTCATTTTCTGAATAAAATTATTATTAAAAACTTCCCCGCTAAAGGATAATGTAATCAATCTATTACAAAATAACAAAAAGATTGTGATAATACCTTCAAGGATAAAGTGATACTTGAACTTGATTGCTTGAATGATCTGAAAGGAAATCAACGCAATAATTTACTAGCTGTATTGTTTTTAATAATATTATTGTATTAAAATCTAACTGGTGAATAACGATAAAATCTTCGTACTCGTACTTGCAAAAATCTGGAAAAAAATCTGGATAATTCTTTCAAAGATGAAATGATAATTGACCGTAACTGGTGTTTTCAGCTTGCTGTAATTATTGCTGTTCCTCTAATTAATTGTTGACTAACAAAGCGATTTGAATAGTAAAATGTTTTACAAAAAAATATTCAAAATGTATAGAAAAAGAAAATAAACGCCCCTGAAAACAGACATAAGTTCGTTGCTTCTTTGACTGTGACGCTGAAAGTGAAAGTTCATCGCTACCTACTTTCAGTGCAACAACAAAAAGAGAAAGTTCAAATGCTTCAGGTTGCGGATGCTAGACACTGTCTTTATTATTTTTTTGTTGTTATAATATACGCTATTGCTCATTTTTATCTAAAGCAAATGAAAATTTCTTCCCCATTGCTCTGAAAAAAATGTTTTTTCATTACCTTTTGAAACATTTCGTAGCATAAATATTTTACACTCATTTTGCCTTCACTAAATAAAGATATAGTTCTTAAAAGGTTGGAGCATAAGGCAGATCTAAACTTAGAACAACAAGCAAGTTTAATTTAACGTTCAAATTTTAGAATAAATTTATATTTATGTCTAGTTACAAGATCTAACAAAAAAATATTTGAAAAATGTTCTATAAATACATTGAAAAATATTTTTCACACTAAATGTACCAGTTTGAGATATTCATGATGTTGAATGATCCAGTGTAACATGAATTTTTTTTCCAAATAATTTCCAGATATCTACAAGCCAAAATAAGACGTTTGATTGATATTAACTTCGACAGATGGCAGCGATAGCTTAAGTTATATAGTTAGCAGTGTGAAAGTTTTTTTTATTTTTAAAAATCAACTCAGTGCCTTAATGCGTGTCCGACCAAAAAAATAAATTTGGAAACCACGATATGATTTAAAAAAAATAAGGACTAATACTTTAAACTTATTTATTCATCTTTAAAATAATTTTTCAAGCACTTAAGTATTTTCGTACGTTTTTATAAAATACTTCTGCAAACGAAGGCTATTTTTCTTACACTTGGTTGACAAAGTTATGTAATATTAATTTGCCGATATTTTTTCACTTACAATTATTGTTTAATTACTGTTAAGATTATTGTTTAAGATCTGACGTCCTAAAATTCCATGCATAATCTATTGATTGCATAAGTAGTGAATATAAAGTACATACAGGGGCAACGGGAGGTCACTGTGTCCTTCCAAATATTTTACAAAATTTGCTTGCTCTTTCGGCTTATTTGCAAAAATTCATTGTTTCTTATTTTATTTTAAAAAAACACAAATGAAATTATGACCGACATGTCATTTTTGTTTCAATTTCTATTTCATTTTGAGTAATTAAATTTGAAAAGCTATGAGAATTGGGGAGCAATAAATATGGTCTAGCCTTTAATGTAATTGAAATAAGATATAAAAAAAAAGTCATAAAAATTGGGGTACTGTACCATACTGTATCCACTCGCAGAAATGAATCTCTCACTTTTGACGATTCAGCAATCCTTGAGTTTAAATTAACAAACAGTTTAAATTTTGATATTAACAAGAAGTTAAAATGCATTTCAATTTTCAAAAGTGCTGATTTCCATTGAAAATAATAAACAATACATAGAGAAGTTGAATCGAGAATATCAGATGCATTACCAGCAATTGCCTCTTAAATTAATATAACTCGCAATCTATAACTGATTTCGTGCAAGTTCGTAGTTACAAGAAGGCAAAATAACTTAAAAAATATAGATCAAAATTAAAAATAGCTAAAAAATTCCCTTAAAAATGTCAAAAAGATTTCCTCAAAACAAACAAAAATTCTTTATAAAGAAAATGGGAATTGTTAATGGATTAATAAATGTTTTTTTTTAATGTTTTCAAAAGTGACTCAAACTGAACTGGTAGCGCCACGATGCCAGTTCATATTTTGATAACCTCATAAATCCTTGAAAATGCTTCTAAAAGTAGAAATACGAAGCCCTCAAAACATAAACAAAAATATCTTCAAATAAAAGCATCCTTTGTAAAGAAACAAAAAATCAGAACTGTATATGCTTATTCGTATTTTTTTTTATAGATATTTTCAAACTGACTCAAAATATACTTCAAACTAGAACCCGAATTTCAATAACCTAGTAAGTCCCTACAAATGCCTTTGAAAAGAGTTAACAAATGCCCTAAAAATATTTTATAAATGTCTTCAAAATAAAATCATAGTTTCTAAATCAACAAGAGTTCAGAACTGCATTGGATTATTAAATTGGTATTGTTCTTTTCAAACGTGACTCAAAATATACTCGAAATCAGAGTCAAAATTTCGTTAACATAATAAATCCCAAAAATTTCTTTTTAAACGGCAAAAAAACTGCATTTAAAAACATTGAAATAAAATCAAAATAAGTAAATAAGCAAGAAGTTAAAATTGCATTGGATTTCTAAATGATCTTTGACATTTTCAAATGTGATAATATTAAAGACCATTTGATAATCCAATCTTTTTACAAAAAAGTCTTTCGTCTAAAAATACAGATTCCTTACAAGACACAGGTATTCCTGAAATTACCTGGAATGTAATCTTAATTTGTTTCCCGTTATACTCACTATAAGTCGCCAAAAGTTATTTCGGTTTTTCTTCTAATCTGTAGCTCCTTACCACGATGGACAATGCACATCTTTTTCCTGTATTTGCATTCAAATAGTGATAGCAACTCAGATCAAATAGCAACTCAGTTAAAAATATGTGTAAGATGAAAGAGTTAGTCTTCTAAACATTTCAAATATTGCCCTAAAATTCAAAATAATATTAGAAAATTCCAAAATATTTACCCTCTAACAGACAAAAAAATACTTAAAATCACGAAAAATGCCCTCAATATCTAAAACAATTCCTTAAAACGAATTCAGTCCTAAGAATGCAAACGTCCTCGCTATCCGGACCTTAATAACTTGCGACTATTCTTACTCATCTCCTATTGATTCACAGTTAAAAAAAAAGAATAAAAAGAAGAGGATCATCATAATCTTGATGTGATTTTCAAATCCTTGCTAACTCACTTGAAATGGCAATGGGATGATCAAAAGTTAAAATAAATCCATCTACAATTTAAAAAAAAATCTACCCCAAAACTTTTGACACTTAACTTCACGTTAATGCCCCCAAAATTTTCGTAAATTAATGATTTTTTTCTTCTTTCAACCAGTGATATTGTGAATGATATTTCCTTTAATTGACCGATTGTGCCTTTTTGTAGTCAAAAGTGTTTCCCCAAGTCAATCTCTGCGGTCATAGTTAGCTTTCTCCTTGACATTGAGGATTTTCTTATTAAAACGTGATAGCGCAATTATGGTGTGATTTTCCTCCTTTTTTCAGAAAGTTATTACCACGTTTATATAAACTTGCCTTCGTGTATGTCTGTCCGGGTGGA